AGAATTAAAGAAAGAAATAAGAGATAAAGAAAAACAAATCTCTGAATATCAAGAAATTGCAATTAAAAACCAATAAATTGCAATTAAAAACCAATAAATTGCAGAAATAACAAGAGAAGAATTAGACAACACACAAAAAGAAAATGAAACACAAAAACAAATAATATCAAAACAACAAGATGATATTGAAAATTTTATCTCACAGAAGGAACTAGAGAAGAAGAAAACGATGACACTTGTGATAAATACACAACCAGTACTGAGGAAAACATCATCAGGAACAATGGAGATGAACGAAACTACTCCTATGAAAAAGACAGTAGTGGAAATCGAAGAGGAAAGCAAAGCACTGATTGTCAAAAAACAAGAGATGATAATCAGACAAGAAATACAACAGAAGGAGAAATCAAATTTTAATTGAAGTGATGTATTGTTTTGTAATTAATTGGTTAAATAAGAAATTATATAAGAAATTAAGATGGGAACAAATTGAAAGTATAATAAAAATGATAAATATCAATGTAAATAATGAAAAAGAATATATTAAATATATTAAAATATCACATAAAATAAAAGAAAGCACTAAACGGTACATTAAAGTGAAAGTAAATGATATAATAGAAGGAAGAGTAGAGTGTAATTCAATAATAAAAAATCATAATAAAAAATAACTCTACAGAAATTGATGAAGAATACCTTAACACTCTCATCAATAAAATAAAAGAAATGAAAGTAGAAAAATGTTCAAACATTAATTACTACTGGAAAAGAAAAGAAGCTGACCGATTAATAATGGAAATTAATAATAGATGGATATGGTCAGGAAGCAGAATGCAGGAACTGCAAGATGATATGAAGATTATTTCAATGGTTATGCACCTCTATCTCCAAAATAAAATAATAGGAGATAAATTTGATGAAATAAAAGAAATCCTAAAGAAAATTAATAGACTAGAAGATATAGTCAATGAAAATGTAGAGAATCAAGTGCATCATGAAATTAAAAGAACATGATGAAGAATGAATCAAAGTCAAAGCACTAGAAAGAATAAAATAACTAAAATATATGATGACAATGATAAAAGAAAGAATTAAATTTAATAAAAATGAAATAGTCAGAATCAATACAAATAAAATCATGTTTGATTCTAACAAGAAAATTAAAATAATGAAGAAACAAATAATGAAATATACCAAATAACGATATTACTTTAGAATAAATGAAATATTATATGAAACACAGGTGATATTAAATAAAGAGAAATGGAAAATAAAACAAATCACCTTGTGGAATGAAAGATATAGAAATTATGATAGTGTCATAATAACATTAAATGAATTAAATTTAAGTATAATGAAAATAAATAATTGGAAAGCACCAGGAATAGACATTATATATGGGTATTATTGGAAAAGAATGTCATCATCAAGAGAAGCCATTCTCAGTATCTTCAATGAATGGTTGAACTTCCCTGAAAACATCCCATTAGACCTGGTAAGTGGAAGAACTTTATTAATCCACAAAGTGATAGGAATGATGTCATTAATTATCGTCCTATCAGTTGTACAAATGTAATTATGAAAGTATTTACATCAATATTAAAAGAAAAGATTCACAGAAGACTTAACATGAATAATGAATCATTTAAAATTAGTAATAAACAATTGAGATGTAAGTTACAATCTTTAGCTGCTAAAGAATGAATAATTAATAGTTATATGATGAAGCAGCAAAAAGAAGAAAAATACCCAAAATATGATGAGTCATATTATGACATTAAGAAAACATATGACACAGTAAACCACGAATGGGTAATTGAAACATTAAAATATTTTAATTATGAGTGTGTCATCATTGACATAATTGAAAGTATAATGACTAGATGGAAGATATTCATCGGTTATAAATTTAATGAATATCTAGGTAGTATTAAATTAAATAGAGGAATTTTACAAGGCGATTCCTTATCAAATCTACTCTTCATCATTCAGATGAATGTAATTTCTCAATTCATCGAAGAGAAATTCCCAAAAACAAATCACACTTTATATATGGATGATTTGAGAATAATGACGCAAAGTAGTGAAGAAATGGGAATAATCCACAATGAAATTAAAGAAATAATAAGTTACATATTGATGGAAATGAATGAGAAAAAATCATGAATGGTATTAAAAAAACATTAAGAAAATACCAGATGGAATGCAAAACATCCCCGTAGTTGAAGGTGAGGACTTGTATAAATACTTAGGAATATGGCAGTCCGACGAAATTGATGACACCTTCAATTGTAAATCCATCAAAGAAAAAATGAATCAGAAGATGGAAGAAATAAACACTGATGAAAGTAGTAATAGAATATATATTACTAGAATAAACACTGAAGTAATCAATATCTTCAGATATTCAGCATCAGTTGTAAATTTGAAAGTAACTTAGACAAAATTGATTTGGAGATAAGAAAATATTTAAGAAAGGCAAAATACATTGGTGAAACTCCAAAGATAGGTTGTATGTCATTATAGAAGAAATGGGTGAATGATTAATAAATATAAGGGACGAATATGTTATTGAATTAGTAAGAACAGTGATGTACTACTGTACCAGAGAAAGTGAAATAGGAAATAACATATTAGATAGATGGTACAGTAAGAAGGGAATATGGAATAGAATTAAAAACATTAAGTCATAAAATAAATGAAACAAAAATAGAAGAAATAATAAATGAAGGGATAGAAAAGCAAAAAGAAAAAGAAGTAGTAGTAGAAATAAAGAAATTAATGATAAATACATCAAAATATAGAAGTGTCATCAAATAAGTGGATATTTTAGAAGATGGTTCGAATCAAAATGAGTAGATAAAACTACTACAGTGAAACCATGGAAATCCATCAATATTAAAAAGAATACATTCCTACAATTAACTAAAATGCAAGATGGAGCAATATTTTGTGTGTATAGGAAAGCAAAAATAATGAAAAATGAAAGAATGAAATACTGCACACTTTGTAAAGACAAGATAGCAACAGTAGAACACATTCTACTATCTTGTATTTATCATAAAAAATCACAAATGGAAAAACATGACAATATTGGTATTATAATATGGGAGGGATTAATAAGAAAATACACTGGAAATATTCAATATAAAAAATACTTCATATGAAACAGTGTTCAAATATAAAGACATCACTATGATATGGAACAAACAAATAATGCCTAAAAGTGAATGATAATATCACAAAATACCAGACATATATGTATTAGATAAAAAGAATAAAACTTGTTTATTATTTGATATGACTATTGTGGCTGATCACAATATTAATGGAGCCTATTGGAAGAAAAGAAATAAGTATAAGGAATTAAAGAATATTCTAATAAAAATAGAAAAGTTAAAATAAGTCAAAACAATACCAGTAATAATTTCAATAAATGGATTAATAAATAAAGAAAGTAATAAATTAATTAAAGAATTAAAAATTGATATTGACATCGAGAAAGAAGTAAAAAACCTTGTCATAAAAAACATGATTAATGTTATGGAATACTGCGGAGATCACAACCAAATATACTCAGTAGAGCTGCTTGAAGAAGAAGACGAAGAGACGGGATTAGTCTCCCCTGAGCCAGGAAGAATAGAAGCTAGTTCTATTAATACTTAATTAATTGCTTATTTTTTTATATCATTTTATCCTATTTCTTTTCTTCAAATACTTTCCGTTATATTTAATCTATTTCATCAAAACCATTCATTTTATTTTTGTTTTATTTCTTTCTTTTATTCTATTTTCATTTCTTTTATGATGTATTATATTCTACTTTTACGTCTTTTGTTCATTTCTTTCTTTTGAATATTGTTTTTATCTTCTTCTGTTAAATTTTTATAGTTTCATTCGTTTTCATATTCAATGTTAATGGTATGGTTGTTGTTTATTTGATGTTTCTTTCTTTCATTAGTAATTTTCATTGTCACATTGTTTGTGATTAGGTTTATTGTTCTTCTTGATGTGTTTTCTTTATCTTATTTTTATTTCATCTTTTTTCTATTTAGTATTTGTTTTAATTTATCTATTTTCTTTCTTCTTTTTATCATAATTATCTAAGTAATTTCAAATGATGTTATAATTTTTATCATTTCAACTTTCTTATTTCTTTCTTATATTTTTATCACTTGTTTATCATCATTTATTTATCATTTTCATTATTTAATAAGAAGAAGTTTGTTCTTTTTATTTGTATTTTACTTCTTTCTTTATATATTTTCTATATATATATATTGTACTTTTATCACTATTTTTGATAAGATGAATTGCTCTTCTTTATTATTTAGCAATCATTAAAATTATTCATTAATTCTTCTTGAAACATTTCAACTTATTTAATTTAATCATATAAATGATTTACATTATTTATATAATATTAACACATAAATAAGAAATTAATAATATACAAACAATGAACATTTGATAAATCTGATGTTTCATGAATGTAATAATTTATAAAGTCATCAATAATGAATTTTTAATATTCTAACTTTTAACATAAATATGAACTATCACAAATAAAAGAAATAGAACAAAGTAGAAGTTATTTGATTATTAATATGTAACATCTAAAACATGAAATTAAATGTTTATATTGTAATACAAATAATAAAGTTATTGAATATAATTTAAAAGAGTAATGATTTGAATTATGAATTGAAATTATTATTCATATTATTATTGTTGTTATTGTTTATGGTTTATTTTATTAAATTTAATATTTATTCAATTTTTTTTAAATAAATTACAAAAATGAATTGAAATGTAATTTAATATTTCATTTCATTATACTTATTGTTGAATTTCAAAATAAAATAATACAACAATACGATGAAATGAAAAATAAAATGATTGAGTCATTGTCAATGAAAATGAAAGTAAAAGATAATAATAGAAAAATGGTGAGAGTATATTTAAAGAGAAGAAAGAAGAACTGAAATATATTTCATTCAATGATTACATTTCTATTGATTATTGTAGTTACTAATGCAACAAAAAGTATTGACAATACAGAAGTTATGCACACACAAATAAAATCAAAAGAGTACAAAAGAATGTACAAATTATATAAAGTACATTTCAAAAGCGTAAATGAAATAGCAGAAGAAAAAGGACAAAGTGAAAAATCTGTCAAAAATCCAACAGAATCACAAAATGCAAAATCGTCAGACAAAGTGCCAGTGAATATAAAACCAGAACAACCACAATCAGCACAAAACCAACAACTCCAACCAACAGCTTCTGGAGATACACAAACAAAAGAGTCAGTAAGTACAGCAGGACAAGGGACTGAAGAACAACATAGTACAGGACAAGAAACTAGTAAAACAACCGAAAAAAATACTCAATCATCTGGTGTAGCCAGTTCTACTGGAAAAGACCAAACAGCTAATGCTGATACAACATCACCAAGCAGCTCATCTACTAATTCAAAGGGACAAGATGCAGTTCAACCCAACAACCAAGGGAATGAAGAAAGGGTAGAAGAGAAAGCTACAGAAAAAGAAACAAGTACAAAAGGGGAGGATAGTGGCAAACAATCTGGAAAAGAAGTAGGAAAAGAAGAAGCAAAGCCTACTGAACAAGCAGATGAAAAAGATAAAACAACACCACCCAGTGAACCTAATGCCACCCACAACAATGAACAAGGAGAAAAATCAAAAAATACCGAAAAAGAAGAAACAAAGGATGATACAGCAAAAGATAATGCAACAAGTGGAAAACAGACAGATGGAACAGATCCAAAAGATGGAAAACAACAACCACAAGATGAACAAGAACCAAAAACAAACAGTGAACAAGATGGAAAGAATAGTTCAGACAAAACTCCCAAAATAATTCCAGAAGAAAAACAAAATAATACTACAAATCCAACAGACACTAATTCTTCAAATAAGACAGATGATAAATCAAATGATAATAGTAATGAACAAAACGAGCATCATAATATGGATAACGCTTCAACTGTTTTCATTCTTCTCTCTATTATCAACCTAGCTTTGTTATTTTAATTGACTTTAATTATTAATATCATAGTTTTATTAAGATAATAACAAAAGTGTGAACTACATTGTTTTGTAAATGGGATGCAAAATCAAATAAAATATATCAAATATTATAAATAATACATTCATTATGAAATATATATTAAATAAATTAAATAGAATTATAATACAATACTCAATAATTATGAAATGAAATGTAAGTAAAATAAAGAAGATAAATATGATAATAATAAGAATGAGAATTATTTTAGTTTATTAATGAAAAATAAAAGATGGTTGAATATTTTCAAAATATTAATTATATAATTAAATACGAGTGAAACAAACATTAAATACGATGAAATTTAATTTGTTATTACAATATGTCTGCTATTCATTATTGTTATATTAGCTATTTATATTATAATGAAATGAAATGAAAATAAAAAGATAATTTGAATATGAAGTAATGAATCAAATAGACATTTAACAACACACTCAACCAATTAAATTAATAATAAATACAATAAAAGAATATCAAATATTCAATAGAAAGACTAATACAAGAATTTGGAATTAAAGTAAATGATATTAATGAATATAAAGAAATATTAAAGAAGACATTTAAAATAAAGAATGAAAATAAAAGAGAAATCAATAGAATAATGGAGGAAGAAATAATAAAACATCAATGGAAAGATAAAGAATTAAAATAAACAATAACTAGAATGAACAAGAAAGAAGAAATAGAAGAAGAGGATGTAATGAAAATAATTAAAGAAGAAGAAATGAAAGAACAAGAAGATGTACAATTTATTAATTATTATTACAATAAGAAGAAAGTACATCAAATAATTAATATTATTAATAAAAATGAAATAATAATCAATACATTAGATGATTATTACCATTATATTAAATCTGTAGCTTCCACTATTAACATTATTAATAAAAATAAACAAGAAAGAAGTGGAAAGAAAAGTATAGAAAGAATATTACAATCAAAAATATGTAAATTAAGAGATTTACTCAATAATAAACAATACATGAAATTAAAAAGAATATTACATATTAAGAAATATGATATATATCATATTAAAGTAAAAACAATAGAACAAATAAACTATTATAAATACCTCCGAAAGATGAAAATAATAGAAATAGAAGCAAGAAAGAATAATTGAAAAGAATAAGATTGAAATATAAAATGATGAAATATGGGAAAAGGCAACACTTAAATAAATCTAAAGAAGATGAATACCCAGATAATATCTCCACTATTAATTTCTGGAAATGAATCTATGAAACTAATACTAATATAGATTTACTGAATATTAATTTATATGAAGTATTAATAGAAAATAGAATTAATGGTAGAATATCCATAATCATTCCCAATGAACTAGATTGTGCTATTAAATTCATTGATAATTTGAAATTAAATTGAAAATGATAAAATACAATGATTTTGGATTAAATATTTAGAACAACCAAAGAAATATTTAATAAAATTATTCAATGAATGGTTGAATAATCATAATGAAATACCTCTCCACTTTATTCAAGGAAGAACAATATTAATATATAAAAAAGGAGATAAATTAGACAATCAGAATTACAGACAAATAACGTGCTTAAATTGTCTATTAAAAATATATACATCAATATTAAAAATGAAAATAGAAAGCCAGCTGATGCTAAATCCAATTGAAAAACAACTCTCATTAAATCAAATTGGATGTAAAAAATATACATATCATCAAAAGAATGATTATTATATAACACTATAATCATTCAATTATTAATAAAGGCTAAATAGAAGTGGGTAGAAACATACTATGACGTATCCAAAGCATATGATAGTATTAACCACCAATGGATTAAACAATGCTTAATATATTTTAATATCCCACTTGTAGTAATTAATAATATATATTATATATATTAAATAATACACATCTTAATTTATATTATAATCAAGAAAGTGTAGGTATGATTAATGTAGAAAGATGAATAATACAAGGTGACAGCCTATCTCCACTTTTATTTGTATTATCTATTGATATATTATCTAAACAATTAGATAAACAAATAAACTAATTAAATATTAAAATGAATGGAGAAGAAAAACAAGTGATATTAAATTATAAATTATATATTGACGATTTAAAGTTAATGACTAATAGCCTCGATGAAATGGAAAAAGCACACAAATTAACTAAAGAAATATTTAATGCAATATGATTAAAAATTAATGTAGAAAAAAGTGTGATAATGACTAATATTAATAGTCAAATAAATGGTGAATTAGCTGAACTACCAAGAGTAACTAATGATAACCATTATAAATATCTTGGTATTGAAATAGGAGATAAAATAAATATTAATAAATATTGTACAAGAATATTAAATGATATATCTTCTATTTTATCATCATTAAATACTATGAAATATAGCATTCTCAATACAATAAGAAAGATTAATAATGATATAATCTCCAAATTAAGATATGGATTTTGTATTGTCCCATGGAAACTAGGAGAATTGGAGAAGATAGATAAACAAATAAGAAAGTAATTAATTCACCTCAAATTATATAGTAGAAATATCCCAAAAAGTAGATTATATGTTAAAATAAATGAATTGGGATTAGGATTAATGTCATCAAGAGATGAATGTTGTAAAGAATTATTAAGAATATATTTAAAATATAATTGGAGATCAAGCACATGAATATGAGAAATGATAGAAGCAATAAAAGAAAATCCAAATTGAATAATTAAAAGAATGAAGAAAGCATTTGGTAAGAAGATTAATTTTAATGAATTAATGAATGTGATAGAAATAAATGAAAGAAAACATGATGTAAAGGAAGTATTTGAATGGGTAAATAATGAATTAAATGAAAGATATTTAAGTGAATGGAAAGAAAATAAAATGTGGAGAATATATAAGATGTGCAAATGGCACTTTCAATGATAAGAAATTAACAGTAGCAACATGGAGGTCATTAAACATAAAAAGAAATGCATTCCTCCAAATAGTAAAAATGCAAGAATGAGTAAGTATGACAGGAAGTATTAAATCAAAAATACTCCAAAATGATGATTTAAAATATTGTAAACATTGTCATAACACAATTGCATCTATTAGTCATATATTGTTAGGATGTCCTGTAATGAAAAAGAATCAAATATCAAAACATGATTATGTTTGTAAACAAATATATAAACATTTATTAATTACACAATTTACTGAATTTGATGCAATTGATTTTAATAATCCTCCAAAATGTATTAATAATGATGAAATGGTCATAACTTACAATAAAGATTTATTGGTTAGTGACCATTCTTTCCATGCTAGAAGACAAGATATATATTATCAAAATATTACAGAAAAGAAATGATATATCATAGATGTTGTTATATGTCAAGATAATAATTTAGAATTAAATTATATTCATAAAATAAATAAGTACAAAGAATTACAAGAGAAAATAAGAAACAATAGAGAAATAATATATTTTGAAATAATACCTGTAATATTATCAATAAATTAATACATAAAGAATCAGTAAGAAGATTAAAATCATTAAAACAAAAATTAAACTTCCCCCAATATCCTACAAACAATTATAATCAAAATTGAAAATGTCTAATGACATACAAATTAAAATATGAAAATGTAAGAAAAAGATAAAGACTGGAATTGAAATGACACTGGGAGATTTCTAAAATAAAATTAAAGGTGTTGAAATTACACAAACAAATGATTCACACTAACAATGCAACCAATTAGAAATATTAATTAATTTTTTATATTTTCAATAGAAAACAAAAATCGAAATAATTGCATTTGGTTGTTCATCCTTTTTTGTTGTTATGAGAAGTAACAATATCCAAACAATCGTTACTTCATCGTTATTTCCAATAAGAAAAAAAAAAGAAAAAAGAAAAAGAAAAAGAACTAAAATAAAAAAAAGAAATGGATTTTTGGTCGTTACAAGGAGCAACAAGTATATCATCAAGCATAGATGAATTATTAAAGAAAAATGAGTGTCAAATAGAAGAGATATTTGAAGACCCACATTATTTATTAGAATTAAAATCCAATGAGACATTGATTCAATTGTTTGTTTGATAAAAAAAGAAGAAGAAGAAAAAAATAAAAAAGTAGTGTATTGAAGGAAGAAAATATAGAAAAGTGTATTAAATATATTTGTGATGGAGAAAGTGGGGAAAAAGGAGGAATGGCATCAGAAACACTTTCAAGTGAAGTTGAACAGATTCAAGAAGAAATGATTAAAAGAAAAGACATTCAAGAAGAATTAATAGAAAGTTTTATCAAGGAAAAAGACAAAAGAGTAATAAACAACATAGTAAATATATTAATAGGGTTAAATAAAAGAGAAGAATTTGTTTGTTAAAAAGAATTAAAGAAAAAAAAATAGATAATAACAAAGAATAGAAAAAAGAAATAGGAAAGAACGAAAAGATGATAAGTAATTTATATGACAATTTAAATGACCCAATCAAAAGTAATTATTTACTTTTATTAATTCAAACAAATACAATTGAACAGAATAATATGAAAAGATTTATAGAGAAAATAATAGAAGGAAAGTATATTGAAGAAATAGAAGGGATGTTAAAAGAAATAATGGAATGGGACAATTCAATAAGTCAAAAAATGTATGAAGAATTTATTAAATCAGATCAAATAGAGGAATATATTGAAAGGATTATTTTAAATGTTTGTTTTAAGTTACATTAAGTTAGAATAAACTCGAATTCAACAACAAAAGAAACTAACACGACAAGAAAGGAGATACAAAAAGAGAATTAATTCATATTTTAAGAATAATGTTACCACTTAAGAAAGAGAATAATAATAATAATAAAGAAGAAGAAAAGGAAATGGTAAAAAGATTAGAAAAAGTCATAGAAAATATAGAAAATGATATTAAAGAGAATGAAGAAAGGGTTGAAGAAGAATTAATTGATTTTGAACATATTATTGAATATTGTATTGAATATGAAGCGGAAATAATTGAAAGAAAAGGAGAGGAAATACTAGAAAAACTTCTTTCAATATATTTCATAATAAGAAACAACTCAAGTATTTATCGACAATACTTAAATGACATTTTTTCAATTCTTATTCAAAAGAAAAGAAATTTGATTAATAATGTTATGAAAAAGTATAAATTAACAGAACAATTAATTGCAAACGATAAAGAATTATTAAAGGAGCATTATAAATATGATTTATATATATTTGAATATTATTTAATGATTCAACTCTATTCTATTACAAAAGATGATGCATCTTATAATGAATATAATGAATATATTATGAAAGAAGTTCTTCCTAGACAAGAAAATAATACTATTTATTTCAGAAAAACTTCTACTACATCAACTAATAACAGTCAAATGAAGCCTTTTGTTATTGATGAAATTGACCAATTAAATTCTTCTCCCTCTACTAATGCAAATCTATCTTCAACCCCAACTAATTCATTTGATTTTGAAAGTACTGATTTTTCATTTGAGAAGGCTTCAAATGTTAATGACTCGTCATCCAGTTTTGATTTTAATTCGACTTCTTTTGGTGACTTTGAAGCACCAAGTGTTGATTCTTCCCAAAGTAAAAATGATGAGTCAAAGAAATCTTTTAATTTTGACTCATTTTCTTTTGATTCAACTGACTTTGGAGATTTTAAATAATTGACTTAAATTTCCTTTTTTTCTGTCATATTCTTTATTCTTATATTTTATCTTTCATGGGAAAGGAAAGTATTATGAATCAACACCACATCTCGATGATTTTAATTACAAATACTCCCATTTTAATGGTTCTTCAAATCAGTGGAATATCATCATGCAAAGGATATTGAACCAATATTTCAAAGAGACAAGGATATTTTAGAGTATGATTGATGTAATTTAATATATTCTCATTGAAATGGTGAAAAAAAAACAAGAAAGAGAATAAACAACCCAAATGTCAGGTTATTGGTAAGAGAATATTTATAACTGATAATAACAAAAGAGTAATGTATTGAAACAACGTATTGAGATATTATTCAGAAATGAAATAACAAATAAATCATATTCAGTCTGTTTTATTCATGAATCAAATTCATTGTATCCAATCTTGAATGAAGTACCAATATAACTTTTACTTTTTATTCCATACTATTTAAGATTAGTCTGTATTGATTGTTTTTATTCATTATTAATTCTTCTTTTTGTGATATTTCTTTCATTTTTATTTCTATTTCATTTGTTTTTGAATCCACATTATTTGAATTAAATATTATATTATATTTGGATATGTTTGTTTTTATATTCTCTTCATTTTATTCTTTTTCTGTTTGTTCTTCATAACTTATTGATTTTCTTCTTATTATTTATTTCAAATTTACATTTTATTTGTTTGATATTCGTTCATTTAATTTATTTTCTCGTTATTTGATGTTTTGTTTGTTTCTAAACATATTTTCTTCATCTATTTTCTTCATTTTATTGTTATATGTTTATTTATTCTTTATTGTATTTTTTATTTCTTTTTATATATTGTTTTATCATCTATATATTATTTTTCTATTATTTCTTTCTTATTTCTTTCATTTCATAGTTGTGAATGTCATTATTTTGTAAATTGATTGAATTAAATACATTTCATTTTATTATTTTCATTTTATATTTATTTGTTAATTACTAAAATGTATAATAAATGTCATACTGTATCATTAAATATTATTTATATCTTTTATTATATCTTTCTTTTTGAGTTATTCTTCATTTTATTCATTTATCATCATTTCTATTTTATTCATTATTTCTTTATTTTTTAAATATTATGATGAATTATTGTTTTATTCTGTAATTCATGTATTTCATTTTTTATTTTCTAGTGTTTCTTTTATATTTCAACTGCTTCTTCTTTTCACATTGAATGTAATGTGAATAATGTATTGAGATGAATATTTCTTAATGACACTAATTTATTTCATAGTTATTTATCATTTAAATAGAATAGTTGTGAACTTTATTATCTCTTTATAATTTCATTTTCAATTATGAAATTTCTATTTATCATTCTGTTTTATTTAATGATTGAATTAAAAATACGATAACTCGATTATTTTATCTTATTTATGACATTATTTGTGTATTTATACATTTGATTGTTGTTTCACACTTTCTATTTTTCTTATTTTCATTCAACTCTCTTTTTCATTTATTATTTCTCCTTTTTCTTTATTTGTACTATTTTCTTGTATTTTTAACAACAAGGTAATAATCAATTCTGAATATAATCATTTTGATTATTATTGATATTATTATCATTCATTAACATCAACATTATCAACTATTTTGTATTCTAAAATGATAATGAATAAAATGAATAGTATATATTATTTCTTATTATTTCTTCTCATTATTCATTTTAAGTTATTAGTATTGATAAACTCATTCAAATTTCACATAAATTCTTTCTCATATTATTTAATTTAATTTATTCAAAAAACAATTAAAAAGAATGAACACTTTATATATTTATTGTATTTATTCTTGTATATTGTTTGTTTCATATAAATATTCATCATTCATACACTAAATATAAAATATAATTAATTCAATTATAAAAAATAAAATAATTCAATTAAATTAAATAATCAACATGAAACTACTTCAAATTCATCTTGACTGACTTTTCTAAATGGTGTATTATTTGAATTTTCAACTCCTTTATTACATTGATTATCATTTCCATTTTGTGTTTTATACAATTGATTAATTCCAATGACATTCATTTCATTTTGATTTATCATTGGTTCTGACAATTGTTTTCCATATCCATTATTATCATTATCATAACCTTTATCATCATTATTCATTTTCATTTCATCCTGTACTGTAATGTTGTTTTGTATTGGATATTCAACATCACTCTCATTTGTTATTGTATTTCCAATTATCATTTCTTCTCTTCCTTTCGTTGGTTGTTTTTCATTTAAAGATATTTTAGATGCATCACATCCATTATTCATTTCATCTCGAGTCATATATATTTTCTTATCTATCATTACTGTCATTGAATTGTGTTGTATCCACATCGAATCTCCTTCTTCATTGCATCGTTTCAAGAATGAATTGTATTGACCTTCGTTGAATATGATGATAGTTGGAATTGATTCAAGAATGACTGAACTGTATTTGATGTTAATTTTAATACTCTCTCCCCTCGTACTACAAAGTGCTTTGAATATATCCCATGAAAATGTTTTAAAATTACAATCATCATATAATCGAATGTCATAATTCTTGAATTGATCAACAGTGTCAAACATAATTTCACCTCGGTGATCTTCTATTTTTACTCCTTTTAATGCATCTCGAATAAACTCTGTTTTTCCTGTTTTTGTTTTACCAACAACAAATAGTATTGGCACTCTCTTTTCTCTTCTTTCCAATGCTTTCTTAATCCACATTCTTATTTCTTTTACTTCTATCATTTCCTCTTTCCACGGATTTAAGTGAATATGTATTTTCCTTGATTCTACTATCTCCTCAAAATGTTCTTGATTCCATTTCTTCTGGAATGTAGAACAACTCGTTAACCACCTTCCATAACTCGACCCTTGTAATATTCTTGTTGCTTCTGAATAATCTGGACATTCAAGTGCTTCTTTTATAGCTTGATCCCATGTCATTTTAACTGATTCACTAAAAATCCCTTCTTCTTCGTATTTCTCATGTTTCTTCAAATAATTCCTTATGTTTTGGTATGACCTATCCATATCACATATTCTTGAAATATAACTAAAATTAATATGCATTTTCTTCCCATGTATTTTTGTTTCTGGCTTTTTGTTGAATTGGAAATTATTATTCATTTGGACATACACATGAGAGTGTGGGTGTGTGTTTTGACTAGACCCTTTCCCATTCACTCCAACTCCAATCCACTTAATATTGTTGCCACATCCAAACCTTCCTATTATTTCTTTTGCCTCTTCCAAACTAATAACTTCATTAATTTCAAAATATATGTTTTTCCCATGGAACTTGAAATATCTCTGTTGTTTTGACATTATATGTTGTTGTTTGTTTTTCTCAATCTTTTATTTCTTCATCCACGTGTCAAGGAGACAATTTTTGTTAAAATGTCTGTTTGAGTCATACAGATTCTAATAAAATATAATAAAATATAGTATGTTTATTTTACAACACAGACCTTCACATTTCATTCATCCTTATGTAACTCTTGATGTGTTGTAGTAATACTTCAGAATGTGTTGATTGTTTCTATTTATTTAAAATGGTTAAAATAATGATACAAAATACATTTATTAGGATGAATATCCAATGAAAAATGAAATGTAAATTGATATTTCATCAATATTTAAATATTAATTTATAATCATTATTCAATGTAATGAATAATAATCAATAATCAATAAAAATGAAAATGATTTAACAAATAGATTTTATTTCATTTATCAATAGAATCATTCATTTGAAAATTAGAAATAACAACATTCATATAACAATGATTAATATCAATACCATTTCATTCAATAATGATATATGATTATTAATTTATTAAATATACATTGTGTTTGTTATTCAAATATTTGAAATGTTAAATATTCATTTTGTTTGTTGTAATATGATTTCTGTTATTCCATCATTTCATAGCAAATAAAATCAAACAAACAAATAATCAATTTATTTCAATTAATACTAATTGACTTTAAAACTCATTTGTATTTACGAAGAGATGTTTGTTATTTACTGAACAATATAACTGTATTAAAAAACATATTTCATTATTTCACTCACTATTAATGATAATGTATATATCAAAATAATTCTTTGGTTAACAAGTGAAAAAGTATTTTGAATTAAATCAACAAAAATTAAATATAACAAAGAATTGTCAAGATTATACTAAAAAATAGAAAACAACCCAATAAAAGAAATGAAAGAAATAAGATAAGACAATAGAAATTGAATAATTAAAATATTGAAGAAAATAAAAGGAGATAATAGATAGATATGAAAATAAAAGAAAACAGAAAAACACCAAATTAAATACATAGAAAGAAATGAATATAAAATAAGAAATGACAATTAGACTTAATTAACTTAATTACCATAACAAAATGATTAAAAGATAAAACCATAAAATATTAACACTACATATCACAATGTTTCATCTAATAAACTATGAAAATTTAGTAGAAAATATTACTCTCAGAACAATATATTTTAAACTAACTTATATAACAGAATCAACAACTATTTATTTTCTAGAATAATCAATACTCAATAATTAATTCCATTTAAAGTAACTGTGTTTAGTAAAAAATAAGAATTAGTTTTTCTTGAAGCACAAATTCAAAAAATAATAAAATTGTATGAGTAACTCTTTAGAAATAGATTTTGATGATAAACTTAATAAAACAGGTAATCAATTTAATTGGTCTCATTGAAGACGATGAATAAAGAACTAAATAGAGACAACAAAAAAAGACTCACTGGAGTATGTTCTTTGATGTGTTTATTTTATAGAATAACAAAAACTATAAGATGTTGAATAAAAAAATAACTCAAAAAAAAAGAATTTCTAAAAAATACAAAATAAATATAAATAATTAAAATTCGTATTTCCTCTAACGTTTGATAAAAATATAAAATTTATAGAAATAAAAAATAAGAATAAATGAAAAACAAATTTAAAATGAATAAAACTTTTAATAATGCTTTGACTTTTCCAAAGTCAACGAATGAACCAAAACTAATTTTATTTTTAGGGAATAATCAGTTCCGAATAACTTAAAAAATTATATTATAAATCCATGAACAATATATTAATACTATTTTTGTTTATTGTTTACTCTCTTGCTGCACAGGGAATAGATTGTGCCTATCACATGAAACCAGATACTTTCACTTGTATAAAAAACAAAGGTTATGGTGATTTTGTGTTTGTTAATTTTTTTAGAGGAGTTAATTACACACAATATTCTAACAATAGATAGAATTATTAGAGGATGGAGGTCTATTGGTTCATTTGATTCTGAAGCAGCTAATTCATATAAGAGTGCTATCACTGCTGGAATTACAGATATTGATCTTTATTTTTATCCATGTGTTAAATGTGGAAATGCTGCTTCTCAAGTCAATTCATTTATTACCCAAGCTAATACAAATGGAATTAAATGGAATACTTTATGGTTCGATGTTGAAAAAGATTCATGGAGTAGTAACGTTGCTACAAACCGCCAATTCTTAGAAGACTTATTATCAGCTGCTCGTGCTGCAGGTATTAATCATGGTATTTATTCTGGATGGGGTGTTTGGGGACAAGTATTGGGTTCTAGTTATGTTTCTAAAGAAGCCTCTAAATTACCATTGTGGTTTAGTCACTACGACCATAAAGCTAACTTCGATGATTATAATAGTGGAAAATATAAATTCGGAGATTTCACTATTGCAATGAAACAATATGAAGGAACCACTAGTATGTGTGGTGTCCTTGTTGATATTGACTATAAACCTGCTGGAGTCACTCCTGTAAATCCAACCCCTGAACCAGAAACACCAACTGATGGAAGTACTGACGGAAATTCACCATCAACACCAAGTACTGATGGAAATACACCAAGTGGAGATTCTACACCAAGTACTGATGGAAATACACCAAGTGGAGATTCTACACCAAGCACTGATGGAAATACACCATCTACACCAAGCACTGATGGAAATACACCAAGTGGAGATTCTACACCATCTACAGATATTACACCATCTACACCATCAAGTGGTTCAAATACACCATCTACACCATCAAGTGGTTCAAACACACCATCAAGTAGTTCAAACACACCATCAAGTAGTTCAAACACACCATCAAGTAGTTCAAACACACCATCAAGTAGTTCAAACACACCATCTACACCATCAAGTGGTTCAAATAATGGTAGTTCAAATGGTTCAAATAATACTTCTAAACCACGAAAAACAAAAGAAGAAAAAAGGTTATCTAAAAGAATAAGAAAATTAAAAAGACAATTATATGATAAAAATGGAAAGTTAAAAGAAATAAAAAGACTACCAGGAGAGTCTTTTCTACATTTCTTGCAAAGAAAAGCAAAACAACAAAAAAAAATTGAGCGATTAGAAAAAATGGAAAAAAGAAGAGACTATCTTAGGAAGGTTAGAAAAGAACAGAGAAAAATCAATAGAATGGAAAAAAAGTTATTTGATAGTAATGGAAAATTAAAAGAAATCACTCAACAACCTGGAGAAAGTAAAGAGAGTTTCCTCAGAAGAAAGAGGAAGCAACAAAGATTATTACAACGATATGAAAAAGAAAAGAAGAAAGAAAACTTATTGAAATGGAATAATTATAAAAAGTCTAAGCATCCATTAGCAGAGTTAAAGGGAAAATTATTAGATAAAAGTGGTAAAGTTAAAAAACTTGTGAAAAAAACAGGAGAGAGTGATGCCCAATTTGCTAAAAGAGTATCTAAACAAAAAAAACTTCTCAAAGAATATAAGAAAGAGTTGAAGAATTCAAATAAAGATAAGAAAGACAAAAAAATATGGGATAAATTGAAACCAAAACATAAAAAGAAAAATGGAATGTTTGGTAAGATTGAAAGGGACATTAATAAGAGTATTAAGAAAACAAAGAAAAGTATTAAGAAAGATATTAAGAAGAGTAAAAAGCAAATCAAAAAAATTATAAAGAGAAAGGCAAACAAAGAAGGATTAAATAAGAAAAAAACAAAGAAAATAACAAAGAAACAAAATAAAAAAATGGATAAAATAAAGAAGGGTAGCAATAACAGATTAAAACAATTACACAAGAAATCAAAGAAGCAATTGAAACAATTGGAGAAAAAGACAAAAATTAAATACCAACAAGCTAAAAGACAAGGCATTCAAAAAGCAAAACAAATTAAACGAAATGCAACAAGAAAAGCTCTTACCATTAAACGTAATACTCAAAAGAAGGCAGCTGCTATAAGACGTATGGAAAAAAGAAAAGCAACTATTAAGAAACAACAGACCAAGAAGACAATAATTCAAAGAAGAAACACTAAAACAAGAAAATCAGTCAAAAAAGTTACTGTCACAAGAAGAAGATAAAAGAACTTCTATTCATTTTTTTTTTTTTTTTGATTCTTTTTATTTGGTTTAAGTGAAGAAGAAGAAAGAAATTGATTATTAATTTTTTGAGCAATACAACATAAGGATATGACATAGTAACATGATGACTATTAGAATTCTTATATACAATAAAGAATTTGGGTCTATAGTCAGTTCATATGGACTAGATGATATTGTCAAAAAATATGACAATGAACAATTCCCTGATTTCAGATACATCGACATATTAATAAGACGTTGAACATCATTTACAGTAAATCTACTTGGAGCACCAGTAAAATAAATATGAATAGCACTATACTCTATTTCTGGAAGTGCAAAAATTGCTTCTCTACTTGAAATAATCATAGAACTAATGAAATTAATAAGGTCTTGGTCGGAAGTACAAATGAAAAAGTCTAATAAACGAAGTCCAACTTCTATGTTTTCAACTGAATGTAAAAACCATGTTATGTACCAAGGAAATGCAAACATTGCATCACATCCTGCTTCTTCTAATGCATTACTCAAATCTGGATCAATAGAACTGACAGTTTTTAATGCTTTTTTCCCACCACTTAACGCTTCATTAAAATCAAACAATGATTGCCTAAATCTTAATGTTGCAAGTCTTTCACTAACACCTAATATTAGTTCATCATCTTCACTAGTAAAGAGTAAATAACTAACGATATCATGAAATCCTTGATAATATTTAAACTCTGGATGTAGTACAAATATCCCATCTAGTATTTTTAATAACCTTTCTTTTTGTCTTGTACTATCCTCTTCATTTAGTAATCTACCATATGTTCTTTTAACATCTAATGTTATTTGGTAATGTGACTTACTTTCTTTAGCTGGGTCTTGAATTTTTTCCGCATGAAGAATATGTTGATAAATTTTAATTCTATTAGGATTCTTCAACCCTCCAAATCCTCTGACACATTCATTTATTATGCCATATTCATTCCATTCATTTTGCATTAACTTATTAATTATTTTGTCCTGCATTTTCGGGATTGTAATTGAATAGTTCATTAAAATTTTTTAGTTTTGTTTTTTACTTTTTAAATTATAAAGCTTATTTTTTCATATTTCATTTCTTTTGGAGAACAAAAAGGCAGTTTATCTTTTTTTAGATACAAAACAATCACGAATGTCTAGTACAACAATTATTATTTGTGTCATTTTAGCTATCATTATTATTTTAATAGAAAGTTGGTGTCATAAGGCAGTTAAAAAACAATTAAAAATAAGAGATCCAGTATTATTTTTATTTGCACATGCAGATGATGATGCTATGTTTTTTATACCAACAATAGAATATTTAAAACAAAATCTCATACCATTTGGGATGTTTTTATTTTCATCAAATCCTATCAGAAAGAAAGAATTTGAAAATGCTGCTAAGTTTCATAAATGTGAAAATATTACAATATGTGATCCAACAAAATATCCTGATGGCTTTGAATATCATTGGGATATAATGGAAATGGCTAAAGATGTTGCTGAATTAATTCAAAAAGAAAATATACAAACAATTATTACTTTTGATAAAAAAGGAGTTAGTGGACATCCAAATCATATAAACATTAATGCAGCATTACCAATGATTCATACTTTTTGTCCACATGTTTCTATTTACACATTAAAATCAAAGAATATAATAAGAAAATATTCACATACTATTGATTGTATTTGTTCTTTCTTTGAAAAAGATGATGAACGTACACTCTTTACTGTTCTTGATTCAAACGAATATGCTACATCTTCTATGAAATTATATCCATCACAATTTGTATGGTTTAGACATATTTATTTAGCATTTTCAACATATACTAAATTAAATCAATTAGTTGAATATTACTAATTAAAAAAAGGTAAGGTAATTCTTTGTCTTTTCGTATTTTCGTTTTGATAAAAAAAATTCTTATTATTTATTATAATTTTATTATTTATTTTCTTTTTTTTATTCATTAAAAGAACTAGTAAAATTTAATTCCCTCATGAAAATACTTATTCTCATTTTATTTACTACCGCATTGGGTACAATCCAAGTTAGTCTTAAAAGTAATTGGAAAGACACTCCTTTATTATACGAAACATTATCATATTTAAATGAATATAATAATGAATTACTTCTTCCATTTTTTGAAGGAATTATAGAAAAGGATGTATTTAATTTAAGAGGAGAGAAAGCCTATAATACGTTTATTGAATTACTTCCAGAAAATAATAGAAAATTAATTGAATTAGCATTATCATTAAGAAGCCAATCACCATTTGTTGCAGCATCTAATTCAATAAATATAAGTTGTAATGGGATTATTAGAGGAAATAAATGTAGTTTAAATGGAAAAGAAGAAAAAGGAAGATTTGAATATGAACGATATTTATTGTATTTAACAAAACAAACTAATACAACAGGAATTCTTATTATTCCACAAGAAAATATAAAAGAAAAATTTAATTTATTAAAACAATTAATGAAAGAAAAAGTTATAAGTTCAATGGCACTTTTTCTTAAACCATCATTATCTGAAGGAATAAAAGATGGAATTATAACACCATTAGATACAATGAACCTTACAGGATATGATATTGAAATAATGCATAGAAATTTTAAAAGAGAATTTGGTATAATAAAAGAGAAAGAAGATTATATTTATTTAAAAGAATGGAATAATGAAGAATTAAGAATTGGAATGATGGATTATTTATTAAATGATAAAGAAAAATCAATTAGTAATAAATTAATGAATATAACACAAGAATTTCCATTGTCTATAATTAATTTATTAAAAAGAAAAAATGAAAGTTTAAAAATAATTTCAGAAAATTTAAGAGAAGTAAATTCACAAATGATGTTAATAAATGGAATATCTTTTAATTTACAACAACAATCAATTTATGACTTTATTGATATTTTACAAAAAGAAGATAATAAATTACATGAATTACAAAAATATGAATTACCAAAGAATTTATTTATTTCAAGTTTAGTTTCAAAAGAAAATAAAGAAACTATTAGATTTCTTATTCCATCAGAACATATTATAAAATTAAATTCACTTGACTCTTATTTATATGAAAGATTCCCAAAACAATTAGAATCATTCTTTCAATATAATCCTTATAGACTATTTAGATACACTTCTCAAGACCTTTATACTTTTATTGCTACACTTGATTTTAATGACTTAAGTCAAACATTAAACTCTTTAAAAGTTATTCAAACTTTTATGTTTAGATATATGGCTCCTCTACAATTTGGAATTATTCCAATTAATATTCCAACAAATGAAATTGGTAAAATTCTATTAAGTAGTATTATTGATATTAATAATAAATGGGGAACTGATGGATTAATGAAATTTATTGAAAAAGTTGATGAATTACAAATTAATAGTGTTAGTCAAATAACTGATTTCTTTAGAAAGTTTTATAGATTAAGAGTAAGTACATTTGAATATAATATTAATAATTATTTAAATAATACTAAAATATTAAATACTATTAATTATATGAATAATCATGGATTTAAATTTAACGCTTTTTATCTTAATGGAGTCTTTATTAACCCTGAAAAAATGGTTAGTGAATTCTCTAAAATTTATTCAAGTGATATTCCTATTTTACAAGAATTAATTAGAACAAAACAACTTCATGATGGAAATATCTATAAACAATTACAAAATAAATTCCAATGGATTAAATATATTGATAATGACCTTATGACTATTAAACAAAATTCAATTGCTAACTGGAAAGAACCTTTTAATATCTCTAAACCCGAAGATATTAATCATATTATCACTCTTTGTGGAGATGGCGATGAAGTTAAAATGAATCAAATCATTGAGAAATTATATGAACTTCATTCTAAGGAAAAATGGAAAATTATTGGTGGAATGAAAAATATAACTGAAAACCAAATTATTGAAAATAAATTTAAAACAAAAGAATTTAAAGAAATTATAAAAATATTAAAAGAAGGAAATAAAAAGGAAATATGTGAAAATGCAAATATTATTTTTGATAGTATTAAAATTAAAGGAAATGAACATTTAGAAGAACAAATAAAACTTGTACTTCATGGTATTAAACATTTAAGTGAAAATTTAAAAAGAGATATTGGAATTAATAAACTTGGTATTGCAATGAATTTGATTTTATTAGATTCATTAACAACTAATAGAGTATATGACAATAATCAATCACCATTAACAGTTAAACAAGTAGTAAATGATGTTAATTCAATTCAATATAATATTAAATTATTGATTGATCCTATTATGCGAGAAGCACAAAAAGTTAGTAAAATGCTTCAAATACTTGAAGAGTTATATCCAAATCAAATTAATATTGAAATGATTCTTATTAAAACTTCAGGAAAAGGTGGTGATTTTCCTTGTGAATATTATTATTCAAATATTCCATTTAAACCAATATTTAATAATAATCAAAGAAAAGATCAAGACTTAATTATTCAAAGTTTACCAAAAAATATTATGTTTCAATTAAAAATTATTACAGCACAAAATATTGATACTTTATTAACTAATACAACTGTTGACATTGATAATTTTAAAAATAATGGTACTATTATGATTGAATATTCTTTAACTAATTTAGTTATTGAAGCTACTTCACAATCTAAAGTTTATATTGGAAATGAATATCGTTATAATATTATTAATGTTACTGGTGATAATGGTTTTATTAATCAAGGTGTATTAAGTAAAGATGGTTATTTCCAAACATTAGTTCCTCCTGGGATTTATTCTACCTATTCAAATCCAAGTATGTACTATAAATTTATTACTCTTAACCAACCATTTGAGGTATTAAACTTTAAATTTACTGTTCATGAATTATCATTCCAATCAGTTCTACTTTCACTTGAAGAAAAGAATAAAATAATGAATGAATTAAATACAAATAAACCATCTACTAGTAATTCTTTCATTAGTAATTTATTTGGAAATAAAAAAGATGAACCTCCAATTGAAATATTTACTATTGCAGGTGGTAAAGATTATGAAAGAACAGTAAAAATTTTAATCTATTCAGTTAAAAAAAATACAAAATCTCCTTTAAAATTTTGGTTGATTGAAGATTTCTTATCTCCAGAAGGAAGAATTAAATTAAAAGAATACGGTAAGGCATTAGGTGTTACTATTGAGTATTGTAGATTCCATTGGCCATATTTCATGTTTAAACAAGTATCTAAAACTCGTATTATTTGGGCAAATAAAATCCTGTTTTTAGATATGATGTTCCCTCAAACTGTTGATAAAATCATTTTTATGGATTCTGACCAAGTTACACGTGCTGACGCTAAAGAATTATGGAACTTTGATATTCAAGGTAATGCAATTGCTATGACTCCATTCTGTGATGGAGAATGGTTAAATAAAGAAACAGTAAATTATAGATTTTGGTATCATGACTCATGGCAACATGCCCTTCAAAATCGTCCTTATCACATCTCTGCATTATTCATTGCTGACTTAAAGACATTTAGAATGAATAATGTTGGAGAACAATATAGATCAATGTATAACAACTTGGCTTTTGACCCTAATAACCTTGCTAACCTTGACCAAGACTTACCAAACTATATTCAAAACTATGTCCCTATCTTTTCACTTCCTCAAGAATGGCTTTGGTGCGAGTCATGGTGTAATCAAAAGGTTAAATCAAAAGCTAAAACAATAGATTTATGTAGTAATCCTATTAAGCCATTAGGCAAAATAGAGAGTGCTCTAAAATATATTGAAGAATGGAAAAGTTACGATGAAATTGTTCATGGAATGGAAGAAAAAATAAATAATAAAAAAGAGCTTTAATTAACTACATCATTACTTTTTTTATATGTTTGTTAAAATAACCATAAATTTTTTCTTCGTAATTCTTCAATTATGCCCGTTTTCTTCATTTCTTTTGTGGAGCTCCTTGTTGTGGTGGATAACCTGGATAAGCTCCTGGTTGTGGATAGCCTGGTTGTTGTGGTGGATAACCTGGATAAGCTCCTGGTTGTCCATAACCTTGTTGTGGTGGATATCCTGGGTAAGCTCCTGGTTGTTGTGGTGGATATCCTCCTTGCTGTGGTGGGTAAGCTCCTGGTTGTCCATAACCTTGTTGTGGTGGATATCCTGGGTAAGCTCCTGGTTGTTGTGGTGGGTATCCTCCTTGTGGTGGATAGCCTGGATAAGCACCTGGTTGTCCATAACCTTGTTGTGGTGGATATCCTCCTTGTTGTTGTTGTGGATAACCTTGCTGAGGTGGGTAAGCACCTGGTTGTTGTTGTGGATAAGAACCAGCACTTTGTTTAGCTGATGATGGATTTGAGATGATAGTGTATTGAACACAAATAGAACCTTTAGTTGAGAGAGGGAGTTCGTTAGTAGCCATGTGTCCTGGTTGAAGTTTTTGAAGAACTAATGAAGCATTTCCCATTGGATCATCTTTACCATGTTTGTCATAATCCATAACAGTGAAAGTAGCCATAGTTCCAGGTGTAACATTATAGAATTCAAAAGAATCTCCCCAAGTTGGATTTAAATTCTTCATAATTGTCTTTGTTTTTCTTTGTTCAATACCAACAGAGACAATGACATAAGGGTCAGAAGTAAATAAGTCCTTAGCCTTTAATTGTTTTCCATTAACAACAGTTAATCTAATATTCATTGTTTCAGATCCCATAGACTTACTACCAGAAGCTGGTTTAGCAGTTTGTTGTGCATTTGGAGCAAAAGGAGAGTAATATCCTCCAGACATTTTAAATGTTATATGAATTTTCTAGTTCTTTAACTACTTAAACTTGGTTTTTATTGTTGATTTTTTTGTACTCACTACTATTAATAGTATTTTAAGTTCTACTAACTATATTATTTAGTCATTGAAATTACCTTTATATTTAAAAAAAAAGAAATTTCAGAGTTACTTATTCAAAACTTTTCTTATTTATTTTTTCTTTTTAAGTTATTGAGATTTATTTATCTTTACAAAATGAAAAAATAAAAACACTTTTCAAATGAAAAAAATAAAAAAGAAGAATAAATAATAAAGAAAAGAGTTAATAAAATGGTCCATTACAATTATTATCTAAATTAACAGAGCCTTAATATAGCCAGGAGTCTCTGGATCTTGGATATGTTTAGAAGTGAATCTTAACGTATCTAATAAGGATTTTGTAGTCTCACAAATGAGAGGATCTTCTTGGTTGTAATTTTTCAATTGCATAATACATTCTTTAATTCTAATTGGTGTTTTCTTATGGAAAGAACCTAATGGAGAAATAATATCATTGAGAATAATTGATCCTGTCATTACACGAAGACAAAACAAATTAGTTTCTACTTTAGAAAAAGTGTTAGAAAATACCATATCATTACAAGCATTAGCTAACGTACAAAGTAAACCAGAAATATTATCTTTTATTTCTTCATTAACACCTTTTGTAAATTCATTAACTGCTTCAGTAAGTACTTTCATCATTGGTGAAGAATAAGCAAAAAACATAGACATTTTATTAGCAGTTTCATCTCTAATTTTAATGTCACTATCCTTTTTAACTCCTTTCATTCTATTTAATGTTCTACGATAATATGAAAAATCATTTTGAATGGAAGAATTTCCTAATTTCTTATTATCAAATTGTAATACAAAGTCAAGTACTAATCCAAGTTGTTTAGATAATGCCTGATAATTAACTAAACTCAATTTAGCTTCTGCTTGTGATAATACACGAATAATTTCAATGAATCTATCCTCTAGAATTAATAAGTATTTATTATTGTTAATTCTTTAATTTATAAACACAAACTTAATTGATTAGAGAATTCATAAAATTCATATAATACATCTACTCTTGGAATTAAAGCTTTCCAACATTCTTCTTCATTTTCTGGTGAAACTTGTGAAATGGCTTTTCTTATAAGATCCTCACACCCTTTATACTCACTAATTTCTTGAAGAATTTTAGATGACTTTTGAAGACATTGTTCTACTGAAGAATATAATTCTTGTTCTTCAGGTGAAGGGACAACATTCTCAAAGTCAATAATAATCTTTTCCCCTTTTTCTCCTCCTTGGAATAAAGAAAGAATTGCTCCCATTTTTGTCAATTTCAAGTTAATCAGTTCTCGTTTTTCTCCTTTTCTCTTTGTAATGGGTTTCATTGAGTTAACCTTATTTATCGGGTTTTATCGAAGTAGTTAAATAAAACGAATTTAATTACTCAAAAAAAAACAAAAGTCAGATTTTATGATTATAGAATAACATAAAATTACTTTTTATATCAAAATAAGAAATATGTTATTATATTTTTTTTATATAACAAAATGAAGATGATACAATAATATAAAGAATAAAACAAATCAACATGAAGTACAACATCAAATAATCACCACAATTAGATGTTAGATGGATAAAGGAAAACTTTAAGGTTTTGTCCCATTGCTTTTGGTGGAAGGTTATGTAAGAATCTAGCTTTAACAACTCCATGATTTCCATGTGGTGCAACAATTTTACCAAAGATAGCACGAATAGCTGGTTTATTACTTCCTTTCTTTACATTAACTTTGTAAACATAAGCAACACGTTTTCCAATATAGAATGGAGTATCTTCTTTTGTATTTACTCCACTAATTTGAAGAAGAGCAACATTTGGGTATTGATTTCTTTGGGCACGTTGAAATCCCATGAAAACAGCATTAACGTGGAGTCTACACTTTGACATAGATGCTCTATTCTATAGTTTCTTTAAACCCTAAAAATTATTTTATTAATTTCCTTTTTTGTTTTTCTTTCTTTTCTTTCACACAATTACACTTCTAGTCTTTTTACCTATAAAATCAGGATATTACCATATTATCCTTTAGAATGAAAATAACATACTTAATTGAGTATAATAAAAAGATAATATGAGAACAATAGAATTATAGTTTATAAAAGAAAGAGTAAAACCCTGAACTGAACTTTATTGCCAAAGGCATGACTAAGGGAACTAGCTGCAGAGGTACTAGACACAATAAAACTCACATTCTTTGCAAAAGATGCGGAAAAAGATCATGGCATTTACAAAAACAAAGATGTGCTTCATGTGGATATCCAGATGCTAAAATGAGACAATATGCTTGGGGATACAAAGCCCTTAGAAGAAGAACCCAAGGAACTGGAAGAATGAGACATTTAAAAATTGCCTTAAAGAGAACCACTAAAGCTTAAGTAAATGAATTTGTTCTCTTGTTTTTCTTTATTTTAAGTTAATACATTATCTTATTTAGAATGACATGTGAAAATATTCATTAATAACCACTATTTAAGATGTTGTCTGTTCGTTATGAAAGAAAAAAATAAAAAAAAAATCTTAATAATTGAAGATTAAAGATCAGTAATGGATATAAGAAAATCATTAAAACACTTACAACCATATAAAGGAACTATTTTATTTTTTGTTATTTTTACTATTCTTTTACATTATTTATACTTCCTTGATTGGTATACTCATTATGAAACTCAGTTACATAATACAACATATTTATTTTTAATGATTTTTGATATTATGCTTACTGTTCTAATTGCTGATGTTATTAATCCTGGTATTGTTGTTTTTATGACTGTTACCATTTTAATGGCTTTTGGTGTTATTAATTTAGATGAAGCATTTATTGGATTTTCTGATTCTTCTACATTAACAGTTATGGTTGCACTAATACTCTCTGCTGGAATTAATAAGGTTCAAATATTAGATAGAATTATTTATTATTTATTACCTACAACAAGACAAGAATATGTTTTTCCAAGTGCATTAAGATTTCTTCCATTTGTAATGATATTATCATTATTTTTAAATAATACACCAGTTGTTGCAATGTCAATTCCATTAATTCAAAGTTGGGCAAAAACTTCAGGACATTCAGCAAATAGATTATTAATGTCAGTTTCATTTTGTGCAATTTTAGGGGGAATGAATTCTATTCTTGGCACATCAACCAATATGGTTGGAAGAGGTTTGGTGTATCAACAAATAGAAAAAACAAATTCTTTATTTAATTTAAATTTACATTTTGAAATGCCATTATTTGAAATTGGAATTGTTGCATTTCCATTAGCTATTGCAGGATATTTTTATTGTTCATTTTGTACTTCATTATTAAAGAAAAGGAAATGTGAGTCAGATTTAAATGATAAATGTGAAGACGAGTTATTTAGAATTGATGTAGTTATTACTAAAAGTTGTCCTTATATTGGTACAGACTTACAAAAATCTCCATTACATTCTCCTCCAAATGGTAGAGTTATTGGTGTTAAAAAGAAAGATATGTATCAAGAATTATGGAGTTTTAATGATAAAAAATCAGTTAGTACAATTCCTGAATCTAAAAATGAAGAACAATTAAATACTGAAAATACAGATACATCAACAAGTGAAATTACTTTTCCAGAGAATTATTTAGATGGTGTAGAATTAACTACAGATGTTATTATTGAAGAAAATGATGTATTAACATATGAAATCCCATTAAAAGGAATTACTGATATATTAAAACAAAGAGGAATTATTATTGAAAATTTACAAACAAGAAACCTTATTGAAAACTATGATTTTAATGTATATGAAGTTTGTATTAAAAAAGGAGAAACTGAATTAAAAAGAAAAGACTGGTATGGAGTTCTTGCATTTAGTGGTATTGAACCAATAAATGAAATTAATGAAAACAGAAAATTTATTATTGTAGTTAAAAAAGAAATATTACAATCAAAAGAATTCCTACAACCATTTTTAATTGCTAAACCAATTAATATTTTTATTCCTCGTCCTTTAGATATTCAAAAAGTAATTATTGCATTAGTCGCACTTGCATTTCCAATTTTTATGGATGTGTTTGAATTAGGTAATTTAATTGAATATGCTTTAATGAGTGTATTATTATTACTTGGTACAAAAGTATTAACAATTGAAGAAGTGTTTAAGGCAATTGACATTCCTTTATATTGTATTCTGGGTGCATCATTTGGACTATCAACTGCAATGGTAAAGACAAATGCTGGTTCATTACTTGCATTAACTTTAACGCGTTTATTTAATCCCTTTGGTAAATTAGGAATGTTAGCAGCACTATATATTCCCACTTTATTATTAACACAACCACTTAGTAATACAGCTGTAGTTGCTGTTATGTTTCCTGTAGTGTGGTCTGCATATTGGGGAAAAGATCCATATGGAGCAGAACGAGGAAAAATAATTGGGTTAAAGAGTTCAATGTATACTATGATGCTTGCTGCAAGTGAAGTATTTGTTCTTCCAATTGGCTATCAAACAAATATGATGGTAATGATAGAAGGAGGATATACTGTAAGTGACTTTGTTACTTTTGGAACACCATTAATGTTGATATCATTAATAATATCAATAGGAATGCCATGGTTAGTATTTGAAGTTTTATATCCAACATCCTTGTAATTAACGATACTTAAATATTTTCTATTCAATTAAAATATTATTTAAAAGAAAGAATTAAATAAAACTTTATTCAATTTTAAAGGTTTTAATATTCTTGTTTAGTTTAGAATCAAATAAAAGAATTGCAAATGAATTATTTGAGGTACTAAATGGATTTGAACAAGAAAATAAAGATAATAAATGGTTATTAAATAAATATTTATATCCATTTTCAAATATTTGATGTCCTCTTATAATAATATCATAATTATATTTACTTAGAAATTCTTCTACTTTATCTTTACCATATAAATATCCTCTTCCCCTTGGGTTTGTTTCCCATCCATTACATTCAGTAATAAATGGGTCTGACCATAACAAATCATTAATAAGACTATTTGGTTGTATTTTCATTGGTCTTTGTAAATTAATAATTGTATCAAGTGAATTTAATTGAGGAGAAATTCCACCATGAATGCAAAAAGCTTTTTCTTCAATAATTGCTGCTATTGGAAGACAATCAAATGTTTTAGTAAACGTATTAAAAACAAGTTTTTGTTTTGTTGTAAATTTTTTACATTCATCAAAAAATCCATAACAAATACAAACTTGTTCATCTTCATGATTTCCACGAAGTAAATAAATAGAATTTGGATAGTTGATTTTAAGAATAAACAATAACACAATAACTTCAACACTATTCTTTCCTCGATCAATATAATCTCCAAGAAATAAATATTTAACTGTTGGTGGATATCCATAACTCTCAAATATTTTTATTAAATCATTAAAATTTCCATGAATGTCTCCTACAACTATAATTGGACTTTTTAATTTAAGAATATTTGGTTCTTTTAAAAAAATGTTTGTTGTTTTTTGACAAATTTCTCTATAATTTAATATTTAATGAGTACTAAAGAATTATCATGTCAAACATTATTTCTTCTAAAGAATAATTAACTTTAATTCTCTTTTTCTTTGTATTAAATTTTAATAATAATTCTAAAAGAGATTGGTGTTTCTTAGATTGAAGGATATTCATGATAAATGAAAAACAATTATATACTTTTTTTATTAAGTTGACTCTTGATTTTATTTGAAATAATATTTTATTATGAAAAAATTTATTTATAATAGTATTTTCTATAATTGTTCAGTTAATTTAGATTGGAATTAATGAAATTAACACAAAAATGAATGAAAGAACTAAAAGACATATAAATAAACAAAACATGTTTTTAAGTTATGAAAGAGTAAAAAAATTATTAATACTTTTGAAAAGAAAATTCAAAAGAAAATTTGAGTTGAAAATAAAAAAAGATAGACTAAAAAGGAAAGTACAAGGAAAAGAGTCATAAAGAATTTAAAAATTAATTTTTTTAATATAAGGAACTTAGAACTGATATTTCACGTTGAAAAGATGATGGGTAATAATGGATATAGAGTTGTTATGTTAGGTAAAGGTGCAGTGGGTAAAACTTCTATTTCTACACAAATGGTTTCAGGAATTTTTAAATCATTATATGAACCAACAATTGAAGATACATTTAAAACATCACTAGATATAGATGGAACAGTTTGTGTATTAGAAATACTAGATACTGGTTTGTATAATATTTTCATTCAATCACCTTTTTAATGCAAAGTTCTTTTCTTAGTAAAGATATAATGTGTTATTCATTTTAATAGCTGGACAAGAAGAATATAATAGTTTAAGAGATCAATATGTCAAATTAGGAGATGGATTTATAATTGTATATTCTATTATTGAACAACAATCTTTCTTTGATGTCAGTACTTATAAAGACTCATTACGTGTTTTACTTAGTAAAACTCAAGAAGAAAGAATCAATGCCTGTTTGTGTGGAAATAAACTTGACCTTGAAGAATATCGTGTTGTTACTACAGAAAATGCTGCAGCATTAGCAAAAGAATGGCATATGTTATTTTATGAAGTTAGTGCTAAAACTAATCAAAATATTACAGAAATGTTTAAAAGTGTTATTAGAATGATTAAAGAAGATCGTGAACTTCATCAACCACAACAGAAATTAAATGAAACAGAAGAAAAGAAGAAAAGATGTTTGCTTCTATAACATTATTAATCATCATGTAATTGTTTATTTTTTTTTTGTTTAACATTTTATTATTTTTTGTGTTATATGTTTTTTTTTTTTGTTTTATGGATTTTAATAAGTGATTTATTTAGGATATTGAGAGAAACTAAATATAAATTTATTTTATTTTAATAAAAAAACTATTTTATAATATAATCTAAAAATAAAAAAAGGAAAAATAAAAAAAAAAGAAAAAACATAAAATTAGTAGTAACAAATGATTAACATCATCGTTATCATTTTATTATGTGCAATACCAATATTACTTCTTATATGTAATATTTATATGATGATATATTTCCAAAATCCTGAAGAGAAAGGAGTAAGTTGGATATGGAGAATTATTGTAATTATTGCATTTGAGTTTTTAGAAATGAGTGTGTTCTTAATTCCATTAGATGTACTTAATGCTGGACCACCTGAACCGATAATACCAATGCAAATTTTCTGGTATATAGTTTATTATGGAATGATTGTATTTGCAGCGATTATATTACCATTTGGGTTGTGTTGGTATAATCAAGAAGAAGATACTTCATGTGTTAAAAAAATAGTATATTCCTTTATTTTTGCATTGATTTTCCTTGTTGTAGCCGCTGTATTTTGTGTAATATTTTACATTATTTTTGGTGTAGCAGAAGTACCTGTTAATTATCAATCTGGAGATCTTGATTTGACATCATTTAATCTTGACAATATAAAAGCAGCAAATGTCAGACCAGAAAATGATGATGAAGAATCTACAATTAGTTTTAGAATATCACCAGTTCTCTTCATTATATCAGGAATTAGTACAATAGGATATGTATTAGTATTATTCTTTGGAGGTCTTGGATTTGCAGTATTACCAATTGACTTAATTTTTGATTTCATTAATAGACCTGAACCACTTAAATCAGCACAAATCAAAGAATATAATAAACTTATTGGAGAACGTGCATTAGCAATGATTGATGAAGGAAAAGAAATTAAACAATTAACAGGAAGAAAATATAGAAAAAGATATTCACAATTTAGAGAAGAAGTATATATTCTTGACCGAGGACTTAAAGTATTAAATAAAAGAAGAAATCTAAAAGGATTTTTATGGGGATATGTTGCTATTATATTAGGAATTATTGCAACACTTCTTACACTTCTTTGGATGGTTCAATTAGTTCTTTGGACAATTTTAAAAATATTCCCATTTGTAGATTGGATTATGCAATGGATGACAGGTCCAATAGCATTTTTTGGAGCAATTATTTATGGAATTTTTGCAGGGTATTTGTTATTGTGTTCATTTAAAGCTGTTGTATATGTAGGATTTAGATTTGCATTAGGATTTGTGTTTTATCCATTTGAAGTATCTAATACATATATGAACGCTTTTTGTTTCAACGGAATTTTGTTAGTTCTTATTGCATTTGGAGTAAACCAATTTAGCTCTGAAACATTTTCTAATTTCCTTACAGGAAGTTCATTCCATTCCTTTATGGGAGAAGCAATTACACAATTAAGATATGTGAAATATATCTACAAATATGCACCATTTGTTATGCCAATATTATGTGTGTTAATGTTAGTATTTATGTTATTATCTAAATTACTTTGCAAAAACAAGAAAGAGAAAGATGCATTAGATATTTTATTGGAATATGAAAATATTAAACCAACGAATTAATTTATTCATTTGGTTTAATTTTTTTTTGAAATTGAAAATGAGAATCAAACACCAAACAATTAAAAATGAAAGTAATTCAATTTAGTTAGAGCTAAATAACAATGGCCAAGTGTCAGGAGTTTTTGTACTTTTCTCAGCCCAATATTCTTGTTTTTCTTGATCAGTAGGAAGTCGTTTTGACAATGCCCTTTTTGAAATCTTCATAATAGTAATTGTAGTAACTGTATATACAATTACCCCAGCAAACAAACACCAGCATCCATCATCTAATGTAGCCTTAACTTCGAAACAAGTTTCATGATCTGTAATGTATTTTTCATTACCAAAGAATAATGCTATAATGTCATCTAAACTTTTATTCATTGAAGGCATAACAGCACTACAATAAGGTTCTACCATAAATGAAGCAAACTGTGATAATTCAACAACAGCAGCAATTACTGAAACTATAAAAACATCAATACATGACCAAGCATATAAAATTTCACAAAATTGAAAGATGATATTTTGTATTTTTCTTGTGATAGGAACAACCCATAATATTAATAACATAATATGATGAAGGAGTGGAATAGCAACAATTGTTATAAAATATGTTACTTGTGTAAACCTGACTGCAAAACTATTTGGTTCTCTACATGCTGATGGTAGACCAATACCAAGATCCATTACAGAAAAGTCTCTGTGTTGTGAATATCCTAATAAATCAAGTGCCCATCCTGCTAGTCCTAAGAAATCAAATGAGAAAGATTGAAGGAACATACCCACAATGACTAATCCACAAGAAATACATAATAATAAAATCATCAATAACTTTACAATGAAAAATCTTGTAAAACATAATAATGGTTTTTTTATTGTAGCTTTTTCTCCAATGTTATCTGTTGGGTTACTTAATATCTTGTTATGAATTCCAACCATAACATGTGATAATAACAAAGATATTAATGTACCAAGTAATAATGTAACAAAACCATATTCTGGATCAACGTATAATTTAATAGTCATTGGGTCACTAACAGAATTTGGATGTCGAATTGGTAATGGAACATCAAAATAAAATGCCATAATCATTAAGATCATGACATAAGAATCCAAAAATGACCATTTTCCAAGGGCATCTAATACATTAAGTATTATACCTCTAACACTTGGTTTAATAATACTAGAAGGAATCATCCATACAACTAATAACATAACTAATTTAGTATATGGCCAAATACCTGAGAAAACCATAATTAATATAGATAAAGGATAAACACCAGCCGTCCACATATCTTTTACAGAATTCATTAAACCGAAATCTTGTACAGGCATAGTTATTGTATTACTACTTCCAAATATTATGTAAGCATTAACTGTTGCTCCAGTACCTGTATTGGATGTAATAAATAATGCAATATTAAGGAAGATAATTAATGGAATAATTGCTCTTATTACAATTGTAATTCTATTATCTAAAAACATGCTTGCTCCTTTAGGGTCTGTTCTAAAAAATTGTTTAAAGAACCATCCAGGGAATTGAATAATTCTTTTACATAAAGACTTCTTTTTCTTTTTATAAATCCTCTTTTTGTATCTTTTTATCTTTTTAACTCCTTCATCATCAGAATGAATATCACTAATACTATCATCATCACTTTCTTCATATTGGTTATCTCCATCAAGTTCATATTCTACTTTAATATTATTTTTCTTTTGTCTCCATCTTACAACCAAGAAGATAACAGCAATAATTGTAAGAATAATTGATAATATTATTGAGACAATAGTACTTAATACAACTACAGAAGGTTTATATCCTAAAAGAATTTCATCTGGATCTTCGTCACATTCTACACCTAAAGATTCATTAAACATATTATTAATACTTACTGTTGCAAATTCATTTATAAGACCATTAAGAAAAGCAGGAATAACTGGTTTGTAATTATAAATAAATACATCAGCAATTGAATTAATAATTTGTTGAATTCCATCTTCAAGATAAGCTGATGCAGCAGTAATTCCAATATAATCAATACTAGTATTTAATAATACGATAGGAACACCAGTTCCATGATGATCCAATAAAGCACTCCAACAAGTTCCATTAGTACACATATTATTAGTATAATTTTCAAATTGACCATCTATAATAGCTATTTGAATTCTTCCTTCCATTTCATTATTTGTTACAATAACATGAAAGTCTGCTTCTTCATGAATTTTCTTTCCATTTGTTGATATTGAAGAACTATTAGCAGTTGCATTAATAGAAAATGTCATAAAAATATCAAGTGTTTTCAGTCCAGAAGCAATTCTTAATTGTTGATCACAATTAGGTTCAATACTACACATTGACTCATTACTTTCTTTACTTACTGGAGTATCTCTTAATGGCTCGAAAAATTGAAGTCCATACCATGTATCTAATCCACTAACATTAAAATATGTTAATCCAAAATCTATAGTACCATTCACATCAGGCCACTCAATTCCATTAAATGTTAGTCCAGAAATTATTTCATCAGTTAATTCTTTAAAAGTATCATCATCTCCTCCTGCAACGATACTGCCTGTGTTATGAGTAAATCTATCTATAATTTGATTTAACCCTAATGAACTATTTCCACCTAATAATTCTGTTGTTGTCCATGACAACATATCAAAAAAGATACTTTCTGTAATATTCATCATTCCATCTTCAATAGGGATGTTAAGAGGTTGAGTATTATTAATATATTTTTCTGTATAATTCTTATTAATATTAAGAAATACTTCATCTAAGGAAGTTTTAACCATTTGATTAACTTTATCAATATTATTATTAACTATTTTCTGTAAGAAATTCTTGACAATAGAAATAAAGAAATCTCCAAGTCCAAGTACAATTGTATCAAGTACTCCACAGTCAGTACATTTTAAATCAATTTTAGCACTTTTAGTATTTAAGTCAATTGTTATAGATGGTTCTGTTCCAGAAATTAAATTATAGCCACAATAATCATAACTATCAAACCCCATACTAAATCCAGCTGATGCATCACTTAATTTAAGTTCCATATATCCGATTTTTTTATTACTACTTTCTTTTAAAATATCTCCTACAGCATGTAATGAGTGTAATGTAATAGAAGCATTAAAGGATTTTGGCTCATCTTTGTTATCAGTTGAACCACCAATTTGATTCACTGTCATTCCGTCAAATGTTAATGATGGAATATTATATCCCATTGTAGACATCTTTCCTTCTAAATCGACTGTAAAAGATAACCCTTCAATAAAACAGTCAAAATCACAATATTCATCATTTTCTTGACCTAATGCAAGAGTG